TAAAAAGTTATAGCTTCTTTCGTAAGTATAATTAAGAACGCTGCTAAATAATCGTCGGATATTAAGCCGTACCGACTTGCTTAATTAGCAAAAATACTTAATTAAGTTTTAAAGTTATGTCGAGTCTCGAATACTTTAGCTCTTTAAGAAAGCTTCGCGCGAACAAAGCTAATTCTTTCGCTTTTAAGTAAAAGTCTATTGCTTTTAGCTTAAAGAAATCGTCTTTATCGTCGTTAAATATATTTAAAGTGTCGTACGCAAGTATATTATGCTTAGCTAATAGTTTGATCGGTAAAAGATTATCGATATAATTATCGGTAGTCCGTTTTCTTTTAAAGTCTTTAAGAAGTTTATTTCCGAATCTAAAGTCTTTTAAAAGTCCGTTTCCGAATCCTTTTAGTAGTTTAAAAGGCTCGTTTTTACTTTTTCCGTACTTATGCTTTCGATCTTTTTATTAATCTTTTCCGTTCTTTTTTCGTCGATTATCGTTAAAATCGCTAAAGCTTTTTAAGTCACTTGCTAATGCTTTAGCTTAATAATATCCGTATCTTTAAGCTTGCCTTTAACGATTCTTATACTTTTAGTATCTCTTTTATTAATACGTAGCTTTTTAAAAGATATAAAGAGCTTATCGGTACGTCCGAAAGTGCTAGATCTCTTTCTCGAGTTGCTAAAGTTAAGCACGGAAATCTGTACGCTGTCTTTAATAAGAGCTGATTTTACTCGGAATGCTTTTAAGTTTTAAAAGGTCTTTTTTTAGCGTATAGCTATTATTGCTTTGCGTATTATTAAGCTCGATTATGTTTTCAAGGCCGTTGTTATTGCTATTCGATCTTAGCTTTTCGGAAACTCGATTATAGCTTTTAAAAAAAAAGTTTAAAAGCCGTTAAAGTGATTTTGGCTTTTCTTATATGATTAGCGTATTACGTAGCGATTAATAAATTAAAAACGTCGAGTATACTAAAGCGCTTCGTCGTAGTCTTTCGTTAGATTGTATAGCGTAAGTTCGTAATTCCGTTATTTGCTTTGTTATAGCTTTTATAATTCGTTTTATATTTTTCTTTTTTTTTAAAACTCTTTTCGTAACTTTTAGACTTCTTTTTCTTTTTTCTTCTTGCTTAAAGTCTCTTTTTCTTTTTTTTTAAGCTTCGCGAGAGTAAAAGTAGAAGTAATTAAAGTGTAATATCTTCGTCGTCCGTAAGGTTTTCGACGGTCTACTTTAATTCGAAACTTAAAAGTGTTGCTTATTGCTTTTTTACTTCTTTAAAAGTCTATTAGTGCTGCTGCTCGTCGTTTAAGAGCTTAATTATTCTATTAGCGTAATCCTTTTGCTTTAAGAGGCACTATACGCTTTTAAATAGCAAGTGTTTTTTAAAGTTAATAAAAGTAGCAAACTTAAAGCTTCGTCTTATATTGTCTTCCGTTATCGTAAAGCTCGTTTAATCTTAATATAAAAAAGCGTGCCGGAATAAGCTTTATAAGTCGTAATCTTTTAGCTTTTTATATTTCGTATTTAAGAAGTCCTTTACTATTGCTCGGGCCGTAATCTTATTATCGAGCCTTGCGTATAATAGCTCGTTTAAATCAAATAAGATGCTCGACATCTCGTCGTTTAGTCTTTTCGAGAAGCTTAAAACTCTTAAGTATAGTGTTTCTTTTAGCTAAATAACTAAAGGTTCCGTAAGTAGTGATAAGACTCGAAAAGTATAATACTTTGCTGCTCTTTATCGGCTAGACTTTTTATTTAAAAGTTTAGTTGCTCGATCGGCTATATTTGCTATCTGCTCGTACGTAAATCGATCTTATTAGTTAGGTTGCTGTAAATAGCAAGCGTAGTTCTTATAGCGTTAAAGTTGTTGTTTTAAAAGTGACTTAATTCGGAATCACTCTTCCGTAAGAATAAAGAAAATCGGTAATATAAGAAGCGACTTAGTACGGAATCGCTCTTCCGTTATAAAAAGAAAGAAGTATCGTAGTAAAAAGGTATCCTCGCTATAGAGTCTTAGCTTCTTTATGATTGATCACTTAGTAGTAAATTAAGTATTGATTAGTATTAAATTGCTTTTAAGCGATTAAGAATATATATTGTAAACACCCTGCCTGATGGGGTACCTGCCATGGCCACTAGGGCCACACTAGACGGACCCATCCTCTATAAGAGGGCACACATCTCCTAGCTAGAACAATCAACGAGCTTTCCACCCATCTTTTTTGGCACTTCCTTTGTGAGACCATGAGGTCTAGCCTCAGAGCCAGGCTTTTATACGGCACATCTTTTTGGGTGCTTCTACAATATTTATAACTTCGTAAGGTCGTCAAAGTACTTGCAATTGCAAAACACTCGGTTGATAAAGTATCTGAATTCTGTCTGCTCCTTAAGGCTCAAAAGAGCTGATTCTTTCTATACTATTAAAAGGAATCACGTGCACTAGCTAGCTAATAAGTTTACTTATCAAGTTGAGGGTCCCTTGACTGCTAATATGCTAAGCGAGGCATGCCAAGTGGCCCGTGAACCATGGTTCACGGGTGAGCTCCCCTAACCACTACTACTACTAGCTAAGGTCGATATGGATATACCGACAGCTATCTTACTTCAAACTTATAAGGTTTCCTTATCCTTTATAAGAAATTTGACTTAAAAAAATCTTTTTTATAAGGTTTTAAAAAAAAAGTCCCTTATCGGCCAAGACCTTATGGAAGGAATAGGAAGGAAAACACCATGGGGCCCCCACCCCATGGAGCAGCCTAATAGTAGCGGTCCTTTAAAAGGACCGCGGGTGCACGTGCCACCTGTTGGATTGCTTCCAAGCGATTGGGAATATATATTCGTAAAGTCGTAACGTTCGTCAAAGTACTTGCAATTGCAAAACACTCGGTTGATAAGGTATCTGAATTCTGTCTGCTCCCCCAGGCTCAGGGGAGCTGATTCCTTCTATATGATTAGAAGGAATCACGTGCACTAGCTAACTAATAGGCTTACTTGTCAAGTTGGAGGTCCCTTGACTGATGACATGCTAAGCGAGGCATGCCAAGTCACCCGTGAACCATGGACCATGGTTCACGAGTGAGCTTCCCCAACTATTACTACTAGCTAGCTAAGGTCGATATGGATATACCGACACCACCCTTACGTGCCAGCTCCACCACTACTCTTATCGTTCCTTCCATTCCTATCCGCTGCATAGCCGTTGGGCCGTTGTACTTCGACACTATGGCTATTAAGGTTACACTAAACGGACTCATCTTTTATAAAAGGGCATACATCTTTTCGCTAGAACAATCAACGAGCTTTCCACCCATCTTTTTTGCACTTCTTTGTGAGGGCCATAAAGCTTAGCCTTAGTACCAGGCTTCTGTGTGACACATCTTTTAGGTGCTTCTACACTATTCGATAAATAAAAGCTAAAAATTATAAAAAAAAGCACGCACGTAATAATACTTTATGCTTTACGCTGGCAGCTTTTATGAGTAGCGTTATCATTATTACTATGATTAGTAATAGCACTTTAAATATAAACACTTTGGCAATATATTTATTACGTTAAATATAAAGCTTAAAAGCAATTAATATTATAAATATCGATACGGCGAAGATATTCGCAATGCGTAAGCGCGTCGTAAAATAAAAGGTAACGGAATACGAACGCATAACCTTGATCTTTATTTTTACTTTTAATGGCCGCCTAAAAGCTTAGAAAAGTTATAAGATAATAAAATAAAAACTTGAAGTTGAGCTTAAGATCTTTTTTGTAACGCACGTGAAGTCGGATTTAAAAAGCGAATTTACTTTTTAATTTATTTAATAAATAATATATCGATACGAACTAGCTACGGCTATACGATACGATTTAAACTCAATATATACGTCGAATAAGCTAATATAAAACGCTTTACATTTAATTATTAAATCATACTTTCTGTCGCTTATAAGCATAGGATTTATATAATATGCGTATAAGAATTAATCACTTATTTTAATATAAAGATATAGATATACTTCGCTTTTAATATCTACTTTTTAATAAATTTAATAATTTATAAAGAATCTTGAAAAAAAATTTTAAAGCCGAAAAGCTTCGAGTCTTTATATAAATTCGCAAAATAGCTAGCTTCTATATAAAGCAAAGACGATCGATTTGAAATAAAAATATACTTTAAATAAACGATAATAGATATATCATCTTTAACGCTTATAAGCAGTCGATTATTAATAAAGTTATTAATTACGTTTTACACTTTGTTTTTAATTATAGATGCTTAATAAAAAAAAGACTTCAATATGCAATACGAAATGTTCGAATTAAAAGTTCGGATTGTTTGTCGAAAAAAAAAACTTAACGAATTAATTTATAGCGAGCGGCATAAACTATATCGGCGTACTAAGAGAACTTACGTATTAACTCGGCTATATCTTAAACTTTACTTTTTTAAATATATCGCACGCTATTACAATAGTAAAAAAAGACTTGCATAGCACTTTAAATTATTGAACTTTTATTATTACGAACTTACGGGCGCACCCCTTACGTTTAGCAACCGTGTGCAGACCGAGTGAACACCGAGTCAACACCGAGTTAACATTAATCAATCGATTATACATCGATTATAATAGGTGTATATCAAAGTTGATCTTAAGGTTGACGAGCTTTTCAATATATTATTATTTAAATCAACCTTTAAACTCTAATATTAATCTTTACACCTTCATATCAACCTTTACCCTTTAATATCAACTCACATTTTAATATCAACCTTTACACCTTAATATCAACGTTCTCTTAGGAACACTTGTACTTAGCTCTTAGTACTCTCATGCCGAATCTATTACACCTTCTGAACTCTTGACTCTATCACTAGTCTATACAAGGGAATACAGGCAGAACCCCAATATTCTAATACTAAGCGAGCCATGCCAAGTGACCCGTGAACTCTAACTACTACTAGCTAGCTAAGGTTGATATAGATATACCGATACTTTCTTCAACCACTTAGTCTATGCTCTAATCCACGTAGTGAACTGGCCTTACAATAGCGTGCTAGCTTTTAGTCCTTGTGATTGATTGATTTCATTACATACCCTCGGTAACCTTGACCATTAACCATTACAACTATCCCG